GTTCGCAAACGAAAATAGATAATGTAATGTTTCCTTAAACATGTGACAATGTGTAACGCATTGAATTATAGGATAACGTTTTTCGAGACCTCGGATTCTCGGAATCTCTTGAAATAGTTGACCGAGTTTGCGTAAAACTCACATAAGCTATAGCAATGTCAGATTATCTTTTTTACGCGACTACTGCGTCGTGTTTTATCGTATGTAAAGATTTACACTCGGCACATTCTGTATATTCTATACTTATTCCGTTGTATTGAAAGTGGCAGTTTTAAATTTAAGAAATAAGATATTCGATCGGGCGGATGTAATGCGGAGCATTATATAACTTGTCATGAAAAGAACAAGATCAAATTTCTATCTCTCAAGATGATAGCGATCACTTTGGGCAAAGGGCTTTGTACTGACGCAATGTTGTGAATGGAACAAAATTATATAGTATATATATATATATATATATGTATGTATGTATGTATAAGCTTATACAGGGTGAGGAAAAAGTATGGAAACCCTGAAAAATCTCAAAAAATTTAAGTTTTATAGAAAAATGTTTTAAATAAAAGTTGTAGGATTTAAAAAGGTCTATTCAATAGTCTCATCAGTTTGATCCTAGCTAGCGTCGTTAAGGTGAAGTCAAAGTCACTTTGAATTTTTTAAGTGGAATACCTTATTTTTTATTGCATATTCTTATAGTCCTTCTCAATACCTTTTCAAAGCACTATAATTTTACTCATTTTGGGTAAGCCGTTTCAAAGTTATTGAGTATTTTACAGTAAAAAGTAATAGACACCCGAAGACAAGGTCGGAATATGATCCAGCCAACTAAGGCAAGATCAGAGGATGATCCAGCTAACTAAGGCTGTTTTTGGACGATTTTTAACACCACTAATTTCTTCGAAACGTCTGATAGTTTTGTGAACCGTAGATTTCGAGATACTTGTATTTTTATTCCGAAATGTTGCATTAAAGAGCTGCTTAACATCATTGTATGACCTTAGTCTGTCTCCCCATCCTCTCATCATCAAAAGAGATATTCGTTCACGTTCAGTAAGGTGCAGCATTTTAAAAGCAACTAATAACGAGTAGCCGAAAACAACTGAGAGTAAGTAGCCGTGAAAACAGCTGAGAGTGAGTAGCCGTGAAAACAACTGAGAATGAGTAGCCGTGAAAACAACTGAAAGTGAGTAGCCGTGAAAACAGCTGAGAGTGAGTAGCCGTGAAAACAACTGAGAATGAGTAGCCGTGAAAACAACTGAAAGTGAGTAGCCGTGAAAACAGCTGAGAGTGAGTAGCCGTGAAAACAACTGAGAATGAGTAGCCGTGAAAACAACTGAAAGTGAGTAGCCGTGAAAACAGCTGAGAGTGAGTAGCCGTGAAAACAACTGAGAATGAGTAGCCGTGAAAACAACTGAAAGTGAGTAGCCGTGAAAACAGCTGAGAGTGAGTAGCCGTGAAAACAACTGAGAATGAGTAGCCGTGAAAACAACTGAAAGTGAGTAGCCGTGAAAACAGCTGAGTGAATATGATCCGGCCAACTAAGCTTAGATAATCTAAGAGCTTAGATCATCCTTCGATTTTGCCTTAGTTGGCTGGATCATATTCCGACCTTGTCTTCGGGCGTCTATTACTTCTTATTGTACAATACTCAATAACTTTGAAACGGCTGACCCAAAATGAATAAAATTATAGTAGGTTAGGTAAAGGTATTGAGAAGGACTATAAGAATATGTAATAAAAAATAGGATGTTCCATTTAAAAAATTCAAGGTGACTTTGACTTCACCTTAACGACGCCAGCCAGGGTCAAACTGATGAGACTATTGAATTTTTAAATCCTACAACTTTTATTTGAAACATTTTTCTGTAAAACTTATATTTTTTGAGATTTTTCAGGGTTTCCTTACTTTTCCTCACACTGTATATATAACTGTATACATAAGAAATCTTTTCTTCTTCTCTTTCATATGGAAAATCTGAAATAAAAACTCAAAATTCTCTTATATTTGGTGCAGATGCAATGTATGAATCTCGAAATAATACAGATTAACAAAAGAGCCTTAAAATACTAAAACCAGAAAATTTATTTGTGGAATATAAAGTTTATTTCTGTAGATCTTTATATTCTACAAATAAATTTTAAAATATTTGTATACTATTCGGTATACTTTTATATTGAATTATTCGTGCGTAATTATTCACGAAACGTCTCTATAGCTTGTTTCGTAAGCAAATTCCACGAGAAACAGAGATTTAACAGTAATTCTGAGTATTCGTCAAACACGCGTTAACATTAGTGGAATAATTTACAGTGAGATGTGTAGTATATATGTGTGTGTGTTCTATCATCGTGTTCATCTTGTTCTACACGCTTACGTTATTTGCTTTATCTATAGAATATCTAAGAGATTCGCTTACGTTGCTTAAGCTTCAAATATACGTGCCCAGTCTGAAATTCACTTTAATTCAATCATCTCTTAGTTAAGTACAAAATTATACCGATAACAAAATTATTATTAAAAACAAGTGTAATCTGTATTGTAGTTTTGTAGCCGTCTCGCGAATTCTCGTTAAATGAACATTCACCGTCGACGAAAAATTTCAATAAATATACGTAAAAAGCAGTAGACGTCATAAGGCGTGCGTATATACATTGTACGTGCATGCATTTCGGAGAATTCAAATATTATCGGTGGACGAATTAAAAAAATTTTAATTCCTCCTTCAGACAGATGAAGCAGAAGTAACACGAAATGCCGGAACAATTTAAATCACAAGTTTAATCTATCGATACACAGTTTGACGACTTAAGCTGCAACAGCGAGTGTACACCAAAATCTATTTTTCGCGGATTATTTATCGCGTAATACTTGTAAATACATATATACACATACTTATACATAGTAGTCTTATAATAATCTTGCGATCCACAGTAGCACAGTTTTTGATAAAACCGCCGTTAACATTTGGCATTTAACGAAAATAGAATTAACGAGGGTTTGCCGTTATTACGTGTACATTTGTCAATCAGAAAATTTAATTAATTAAATTAAAAAATAAATATAGAGACGAAGAACAAAATTCGCTCAAGCAAACATTTAGCAGATTAAATGAAATATATATATATATATAATACTTTCGTATAATATAACGAAATATATAGCTATGATTAATTATATAATGGACTCAATGATTGTGATTTGACTAGTGACTATATCAATGCGACCTGTTGTTGCGCTAACGCGTAATTGATTTAATAAACGCAATACTTTTTCGAAGACAGGTGACCGCCGGCTTTATCAATTCAACTGCTTTTTTATCAGTGTAGAGAATCGTAATGAAGACCTCGAAACGAGATCCCAAAATAATGAATCTGCATTTAAACAGGAAACAAAGTACAAGTAGTCCAAAGTACAAGTAGTTCACTAAGTGGGCCAAACGAAAGGGAATTTAGATAGAGAACTGATTAAAGTAATATTTCCCTAACAGAGTCGCCGTTATTTCCTCGATAAACGATGACGGTTCTATCGGCTTCATTCCATTCCGCAAAGTCGAATGACCGCAGGATCAATTATAAATTTCCATTAACTCGATTAATTGAACGATTCCGTCAGTTTTTTCGATTTAGGCGCTTCATTGTTCTCAAATATCCGGTGTGTCGACGTGTCATACAAAACGTTATCATACAAATGATTACTCCATTTGCGATATTAATCAATATTTCAAATAATTTTCAGTTAATCACATCTTTGAGTTAGCGGAAGATCAAACAGTTCACGCTTGATCGGGACAGTTCTAATGTGCGGGCATGATCATAATTCAATGTTTGAAATGCCATTTAACTTGCAAATTATAATAATTAATACCAGATGCTGATTCTCTCTATGACATGTTCGTTTCGGTCGATTTGTTTTCCGCGAAATTTATACGGACACAAGAGCGAATCGGTGCGGCTATTGATGATAATTATATCGAATTCTTCTCGATATTGTGTAAGCAAATTCACGTTCACCCGCTCGCGATATTATAAATTCACGCCAAAGAAATTATCACTTTTCATTTGCAGCGGAAGGGTATTATCTGGTTTCATGAATTGCATAAAATGTGCAATCAGGCAATATCACGAACTGATGAGAAATTGGCACGAGCAATGAGCTATTATCGTGCACAGGTCAAATTATCTTAAGATGAATCGCCATCAGCGACAATAGCGGGTTATCACTTAACAGTAACAGCGCATCGTTGAAAGACTGTACTAAGAGAAAAGAAGTGGCTGAGCACTTTGCTTGAACGAACAAAATTTGTTTAATCGATTTAACGAGTCATATCGTTGCTGCGACGAGAGTTATCGATTGACTCAACGATTGCAATTTGGTAATTATATCAACACAACTTGTTGCATCAATGCGCAACTTGTTTAATAGACACTATATTTCTTTGATACCGCTTTTCTTTCTCTGTATGAAAAGACCGGTATGTAAAGTCATTTCCATTCGAGTTGTTCCATCAGCGAAGCTTCTCGAAAATTCCGCGATTTTAGTTTCAATTTCTACAATTTCTACAAATCAGACAATTCACGCGGCGGGAGATGCGGGCGACCGCCTATAAAATAATTCGCGATTGCACGCCGCGATACGCGCAAAACGCTCCTCCGGAATGATTCCGTGGCATTCGATTACTGTGGGGGAATTTCCGGCAAGGCAACGTTGCTTTGATCGACACGTGCGTTTCGAGATCCGAATAATCATCTAGAGGGATCGAAAATTCGCATTCGCGCAGTCGGCGGCCTATTTATTCGCACGAAATCGGGATCATCGACTTCAAAAGCAAAACGAGTTTGTGCGATTCCCGTTGGTGATTTACAGGCGAAACATCACCTGTAAATCCCGCGATTTACGACAGCTATTTATATTCATAGAAGCACGCATTGCGCATTAGCGAGATGGAACGAGATAGGAAGTTTCTGAACGTGCTGTATCAAGCTAGCGCGATCCGTCTTCTTACCGAGTACGATCCACATGACGATGCTGTTGCCGCTGATCGCGACCAGCACTATCACCGCATATATCAGCGACCAGAAGAGTTTCTGCCACCACGGCAAGTCGAACGGCCGTTCCTGATTTGCGAACACGCAATCGGTGATCCGGTCACGCAGGAAGTCCGGTCGACTGGAGCTGTCCAGCGCCTCCTCGATAACGTTAATGAATTCGCTGTAATTCAGTCTGAGCAGCAGCGTGACGTTGCGTTCCAAGACCCATGCGCTGCAATTGTACAAAAGCGCCAGAGTCACGCTATTCATATTTGTCAGGGTCGTCTTCCACGTGAATCGTACGGAGACAGCGCTCTCGGGCTGCTTTATTATTCTATCGCTGTCCTTCTCTCTCTCTCTCTCTCTCTTTCTCTTTCTCTGTTTCACCTTTCTCTCACGCTCTATCACAAATATCCTCCTAGAATAAGTTGCCTAATCGATTTTATCAGCCGCTGCTGCCAATTTCCTCCTTAGTAACAATGGACTAGTGTGCAGCTGTCATTACAGGTGACTCGAACCCGACCGTTCGTTTCTTATCGGGAAGACGTCAGTACGAATTTACGGCATACGATCGAGGGTCCCTGAGGATCTGAGGATTCGTCCTCTCCATTGATGTAATCCTCCGGTGTAAAATCCGCTCGAATATCCTTAGATTTCTTACACGCGATCGATCGATAGTCTTCTAGCGAATATTTCCTCGCCGTCCACCGATACTGGAGCGTGATAATAAGATTGTCGTCGAGAGATGGAACGAATATGCGATACGCGACGCACGGAGCAATCGTATTTCGTATCACTTTAATCCGGAGATTGCGACTATCTAATTCGCGTAACGACCGGATATACGCTAAAATCCGCTTTACATCGACCGAAAAGGATTTGTGAGGTCCTCGAGCTGATCCTCCGGTTATAAATTCATTCAACAGATACAATTTTCGCACAATCACTCTGTTGTCACGCTTATTTCGCTTATATCTCGAGCTTCGCAATTTTCCTCCGTTCCTGCAATCGCGCGACGTGCAATTTACGCGCTGTCGGCTTCTACACGTTTCAATACTACTTGACACGCTATCGCGCGTGCCGCTTCCGCAGTATCGTAAGAAATATCGTTGAGGTCGTAGACGAGCACAACACTTCAAGCTCCCTTCAAAAGATCCTCAGTGGAACGCGCGTATTCGGCAACGTTTTCCTACCTACGTTAAAATGCGCCTCGCGTCTATCATGCACTCGAGACGCGTGGGCTCGTGAATGGTCGCGATCGGTCGACGGAAGTCGCAAATTGTCGTTGGTACATGATCGACGCTTCAAAGTCACTGTCACTGGCAGCAACCAAGAGCAAAGTTCGTCCTGTCGCGTCTGAAAACTCGATGACACGTATCGGCATGTTTGTCGAGGCCCAGTCGCGCGTCCGGCCGATCAACCCCCGCGGTCATTTACTTGCTCACCGGATCACTCAGTCGATCACTGACATTATTGCCGGTCAGACGGGATCCGGCCTGTGTGTAGATCGGCCGTACCGAAGAACTCCGTCGGCGAAACTGAACGCCTGAAAAGCGCGTTCATTCAAAGATGCGTGCGCACCACCCTCGCGCCCTCGCACCCCGTTCCTTCGTTACCGTTCCCGTCGTGTCCGTCGAGACTTTCCACTTGGTCACTAGTATCAGTTGATGGGGAAATGCGCGAATGCCTGCGCCGAATCGAATATCAGCATCGGATATCGTCGATTTATGTCGACCATTTCTCAGGATAAGAGCTGGAAGAGATTTGCGTCACGTGCGCCAGGATCCGTCTCTGTGGCGGATTTAACAGATGTTTTGCGTTGCGCGTCCGGCAATGCGAGCTGCTAGATATGGAGTCCCGTGAGATTCTCAACGTGAGTTCTAATCTTGGCTACAGCTTACGTTATAAAAATCGCTTATTGAAACGCGATACCATTTCTGGCAGTCGCTTGGTGAGTTCAAATCGCGGAGATAAGGACGCAAAGCCGGGATTACGTTGCGGTGAATTATAAATATTTAATTATTAGCTTAAATAATATTAACATAAATTATAAACATTGTGTGGGAGCTCTTTGATAGGATGCGAGATGAGAGATTGTCGGGGAGAAAACCACTTTTCAACGCGAACGCGTCTCATGCATCTCCCGCACTTTACCAAATATCTCGCAAATAAAGCTATAATAGTAAATAGAACAAAGGTAACATATTATGAGTTATTATCAAATTTATTTTGATTATCTTTACAACACTATGAAAGAAGAAGTAGCTCCGTTTAAAATGACGCGAGCGTTACATCGAAGAAGCCAACATAATCCATATTACGATAATCTCGCCGACATTTCAGAGTTTAAGTAGCTGCGCAAGCAAGCGCGCGAATGTTTCATGGAGATTATACGTAAATAAGGATAACGTTAACCACGATATTTAACCCAGCACCTTTGAGAGCTCACGTTAAATTTCGCGGTTCAAAAAGCAATTCTCTCGCGAGATACACGGCTCGTGCCTCTCGCTCGCTGGGGATCCTCGCCGCCACGGTTGTCTAACATAAACAGGGAGAAGTATCTTTCCACTTGGCGAAAATAACAGCTGTTAACGCTCAGACCGTCGAGGGAGATACTATTTCACACCAAGTGCTTCTCGGCCGAAGCAGCGTAACTTCATCTTGGAGTGTCTCGATCGCAAAATTTTCCACGATATTCCTTCGCGAGGCCCTAATGATCTAGGATCAGTTTTTGTGACATTTTTATGAGAATATTTTTATAAGTCATCTTTCACGTCTATCCGCGCGCTTTTACGACGTCTATTCTGACGACACGATTACTAACAGTGCGACCACACGAAAATTATCACCAGGATGAGTGTTATTGCGGGAGACGAGGAGGAGACGGAGATTCGTGCTTGACGGCAGATGAGGAACATCGTCGCCGCCACCGCCGCCGCCGCCAACACCGACACCACTACTATCTGCTGAGAGGAATTATTAATATCACAACAAGAAGAGAAGGAAGCAAAGAAGCGAGAGAGAAAGAGAGAGATAAAACCTATGACATTTATTTCGAATCTTTACAGCCTCCGACAGCGTCATTTGATGACTTACCACACTGAGAGAAAAAAATAGTTGGAATAACTGTAATCTCACTATATTTTATAGTTCGTTTTGGCCTCAAACATATATTTATGGTTCATCTAAACATGAAGATATAGTAGAATAAACACAGATTTATAGTCACCATCTTATTACTCTATATATATGGTAAAGCACCTTTTGGGAATATAGTTACATGTACCTATATTTGCCAAATATTCCAATTGTATTGACTATATAAAATAGTTAATTTCTCTTACCATTCAATATTTGCTACCTTACTATATTTTTTATTTCAAACAATTATAATTCTTGGTAAAAATTTTATACGGGTCAGTTATACTATGCTTATATTGTAAATATTACAAATAATATGGTAACATTTACTATAAAAATTATATTTCTAACTATAATCTTTTTACTATACCATTATAGTTCCAAATATCATACAGTGAAGAAAAAGAAAATGTCGTTTCCCTTATCCCCTGCGAATGAATATGATAGTGATCGCTACCATATATCCTTAAAAACGGCCCAGTTATGGAATTGCCTACTTGCCACTTATTACACTATAAAAAAATCACGACCTAATCTACGTATTGCGAGTTCACCATTATCGATTTTATCTTCGTTCTCGAGTTCAGCTTCGTTATGTTTACTTGCGCGAGAGAAGAGCTCGCAGCTAATGATGGAATAACTTGTAAGTGATTCAATTAACATACCGTGACGTGATATTCATTTGCGGCTATCGTGATTAATGTTGCATCACGCTCGATCGAGCTTTGCAAAAATTGCAAATGATTTGCCTAATAACAATCATAATAGAAGAATATATTTCTAATGTTCTCGAATTTATCTGATTAATTCTAATTATTAATAATCTTTATTATCAATAAAGTCTTGATTGCGACGCTGCTTATCAGAATATCCGATAACTGATTGGGATCAGTCTGATCAGAATTATAGGATAAATCTCTAGCCATGACCTACGATTTTTATGATGCTTTATTTAATAGATAAATTTAATTATACTATGCTATAACTACATCTTTCTTTTCTGAGATGAAACATTTCATCAGATAAAGACACACGTTTCTCTCGTCTGTTCGTTAAAACTAGAAAGAAATGGGAAAAATGTGTATCTTTTAAGATTTATATTATATTATATATAATAAAGCATACTTAGTGAACACATTGAGAGTGCAATATTAGACGAGTTTATTACGCTTCTATAAAGTTCGGACTTTGTCATTTTAGACGAGAAAGTGCGTCTCTATTGTCGGTTCACTATATTTGTCTTCGGACGTTCCAATACTCACGTAAAAGTGGAAAAGTATCCCTGCCACATGAAACCGAGCTTCACATCACACGAGATACAAAAATCTCTTTGAAACTTTTTTGTAGAAATCTCGAAGAAGAGAAAGAGCGAATTTTCGAGCAATAGAAACAGTAGCGGACTCTACGGATTACGTTACAAATCTGTGAAATTATTGAATATCCGTAATAGGATATTAACTGAACAAAGAGGCGTGGCATTTATCAATTTTTCAGATATTCTGGACAGCACAGAGCGAATGAATTTAATCAGTTTATTCGCGGCACAAAAGGATAATTATTGAGATCGAATGAACGGCGGGAATTATGGAATAAATTTTAATCGTCAAATGGAATACTTCAAGAGTGATTTATTTCTAAGCGAGTACTTCTTGATCGACAATTATTACATTAAGAAATCTAATGTAAAAAGTATTTAAAAAAGTTCGAGTTTCTTTAGTATTTTTGTTCTGATTCTAGAATTTAGGACAAAAATAGGATTCCCAATTGGTATCGTAATGGGATAATCTATTTTAGGGCAAAGTTGGATATTCTGATTAGAATCTAACTAAGAAATTTCTATGCGGGTATTCGCGCTTTACTCATTTAGCGGACCGATACAGCCCGTAATTTATTTATTCGCGTACGATTAATGCAGTTAGAATGAACGTAAACGAATATTTATTCGCGAAATATTATCTGTAACATTTTAACGGGAGGGAAAATTACTCTAGGCTGACACTATCGCTCTCGTCTCATTTTCGGCTCGGTATTACGGGCGAAATTATTGCATTTAATAAACCTGCTACTCGTTAATTAGCATAAACATTCGAAATATTTCGTTATTTATACATTTACGTATTATCTCGTCAATTACGTTAAAATAATCTCGCGCACATTTATTCGTCATATCGCACACCGTCATGTCGCTTTCCCTTGTCCTCCGTAATGAAATCTTATCCGCGCGATAAGTTGTATAATTTTTATAAACACGGTGTCGCGAAAGTTCCATTGTAAGCGAGTCGCAAAGACGCGCGGCAGGGCGCCCATTGTTGGGCCATTGTTAACGATATTTTCGCTTCGTCAATTTTTAGCCGTGATGTAATACTCGGTATCTGAGATTATCGTAACTTTAATAAACAAAGTGTTACTCATTAAGTCGTCGTCAAAGAGAATATCCTTCAGAGTTTTCACTCCGTTCTCCGCTTATATTAGAGCTATTGTCGCAGCAACCAATGACAACGCTTACCAAGGAAAACGCGAAGAAAACGAGGTTAACATTTTTACGACGGAATCGTAAGAGCGACCTTGCTTAACATTGCGTTGTTCGTTTTCTTTCATCGAATACGAACGCGCAGAAGTACCTAAAACACAAATATCCCCCACAGGTCCGCATATGCATGTCCGCAGGTCCGCAAATATATATATATATATATATATATATATATATATATATATATATATATATATATATTATGCATTATTACTCGCCAAACCCTTCACACAGTCCCATATGTTCGTTGGAACGTCGTCTGCCCCTAACAATATCGTCGTTTCACGTACTAAAAAGTGGATGCACATTAATTAAGTGGATGCGATATCCTCGCGTAGATCCTCGCGTTGTTTGGTGTATTACTGAACACGAAACAAAAGAGTTACAGAGGAAGTTTAGTTCCGAGATTAGTCGGTCGAATTTTCTGTCGGGTGAATAAGAAGAATTTGATACGCCATTATCCTATGCAAACCGTCGCGGCGGAACTTATGTATTATTCGGTCGCACAATCGATTATAAAGCTACTGAAGGAAACGACGAACTAGCGACGGGAATAAATTCAGAATGATGGATACGGGTATGATTCAAAAGAAAGGAAGGAGAACGACGATTTGCTAGTAGTCGTCGACGTGAACAATCTCTTATTTCTCGTCGTGAAGCATACTAAATATCTCGGGACGCGGATAATAAATTTTGCTGGGTCTTACGATTCCCGCTATTTCGCCCATGGAAACAGCGCAAGCTTGAACGAAATTGCAGCAAGAGTGTAACTTGATCTAAACTCACTCAAATGAAATACTGGTTCAACTTGATGACATTCTTAGATAAATCAAAATAAGTTTAAATCAAGTTATTACGTTCTGAAATGCAAGACTCGACTATGCTACACCTTCCTATTAGGGGACTGGTGACGTTAATCTCAAAAACTTTATCGCTCATTCGTGATGTTTCTCTTATCATGTTATATTCTATAATTATTCCGAATTAAATATAAAGGATCAGGATTTAAATATAAAGAGAGGGAAAGGAGGACGCCCTTTAATAGATTTCATGTGTATTTAAAATATTAAACGATATAATTTAATTCTTTAATAATTCTTTAACTTAGTTTACTCTCAACTTAGTCTCAATTTTGTTCTTTGATTTAATTATTTTAATGGCGCTGACCTTTTAATTAATGCGCTACACGTCGCTGAAGAAGCTATCTTCTACGGATTTTAAAAGTCTTTCCAATAATAAGTTGCTATTAGTTATCTTTATAAGGTTACTGCTGTCCTATACCATATATTGAATTCGCAAGTTTGCTGTACCTAACGTATAAGACCTTACCTGAATTCAATCCTCATCATGGATCCCCTTTTCCTCATTTTGCGGTTGCCATTCATCTCGTGGCACGTAACATCGTGTCCCGCACCATGTATGTAATTAGACTAGTATTTAATTAAATTATTTTGCCATCGATTCTCTGGTCACGAACTTTCACACACAAATGTCATAATTAGTCACAAACGCGAAGCTACGATGTAATTTGTTGTGTCGACATGAGAGGCATTTAAAGAGCCATCAAAGAGGTATAATTACTGACCAATGCAAATCATTTCATACGTATTACTAATAAATTTATGGAATTTTATTGTATGATTTTATCATACATAAAATATATTAATTCGCGAATATGTTTGTATGTGTATATATAATTCGCTAAGTACGTGATAAATCGATCGGACGAAATGCAGCATGAAAATTGCTTGTTAAATGCTTCGTACTTGCACACCAAAAGATTTCATCAAAGCTTGGTTATGAAGTAACCTGAGTTATCGGTTAGAATTTAATAACAGCGACGATATGAGAAACACGGCAGTTATTTACTAGCCCCGCGAAGAGATTCAGCACCCTCGACGGATGCTTCGGATAAAGGTTGCGGGGTGAACTCGTTCTTTCATCATTACCGACTGAATTGAGCTCTCTATAAGCTCTAAGTTATCTAAAATACGCAGAGAGAAATTGCGTCTCGCGAATCTATTAGATATCACAATAATGCGCATGAATCGCATTTTCTCAAATACTAATGCGCGCTAATAAATTATTCTTTTTCTGACTTTCTTTACAGATTCGATGGATTGTTATTACCCGTTGAGCAGTTTTTATTCTGCGACTAGTTTTCGTGAAAGACGAGTTCTCGTGGGCGAGTTTTGTTAAAGTAGGAGTTTACGAGTGCTCGTCCTTATTTTCTTCTCCTCGTGTTTACTTAGAAAGTAGTATATCGATACTTTTCAATGAATATTTGCTTGGGGATATATCTTATCATATCAGCAACAATTTATCTAGAAAAGTTTCTAGTAATTTTGCAAAAGTTATAGTATATGGAATGTAGGACGAGTAAGAAAACATTGTATAGTTTATGTAAACTCAATGTGACTCAACGTGCACGGATATCAACGCAAACGTTCACTAACTAATCGATATCTGCCTCACTGCGCATACCGACCGTGCCATTTGTAGCAACTGAAATCTGATATACACGTCCGACATATCCTAGGTAGATACCAGTCCTCGGTAGGAATAGGATATACCCTGCGGTATAACGTGAACTTTCGACGGAATATGACATCTCTGTTCTAGCGAGTTATCGCGTTATCGCGACGATGCTCGTTCCAACTACTATGCGGGCCACACCAGTGCCGTTAATCAGCATTCTGTTCGAAATCGCATCGGGTTATCGAAATGCAGGTGGAACTCCGCCTTGCAAGCGGGTTAATGTGGTTCCCGACATTGCAGATGTCACTACTCTTACCGCTTCCTGCCTGTGCTCGAAGCTTTAGATATTGGAATTTTATCGCGCTCACTCACACACCGCCACTATCTACGATGCATCATATTTCAGTTAGACTTTATCCAGCGATCTATCGGTCGAGTGGCTAGAATGAAATTCTAAAACATCACGTTGCGTTAACTTGCGCAACGCGCGGTTATTGCGAGGATATCTAGTGATTTTTCTTTTCTTTCTTTTTAACGCGAATCAATGAGCAGAGGATGGGATAATTTTATCGTGTCACATCGCAGCGTCTGATGTCTCGTTTTATTATAGTCGCATTTTACTTACAGGTTCAGCAATTAAGGATTCTGTCTATATTTAGACGCGCTGAAGCGCGTCGTTACGCTTATGCACGGCTCGCACAGACGCAATGTATCTAAGATCTGATTGCTACTCGATAACATCTATGTCACGACACTTCACTCGGGAGCTTGTCTCAGTCGCATTAACTCGCGAATGAGAATCGCGAATGCGCAAACGTTTGAATTTCACACGCAACAAACGAACTGAATATCTGCACTCGTTATTCTTTCTTAGGAGATTGCAAAGCATTCACCTAGTTGGCAGAAAACATGTACAGTATAGCTTACACATTTTCACGGAAACGTTGGTAATCCTTCACGACGCATTAACACGATGAAATATAAATTCTGCGGATTTGTTGCGAATAAAAACCGTCCGACGATTATCTCATCTTCGAAATTCCGGCGAAATAGATCTTCAAATACGCAAGTGTGGGAATTATTTTATTTCTCGTTGAATGAAACATATACAGTTGAAATAATATTTTTCAGAGCTAAATGTAACATACACTGCATGGTATTGTATGTATACGATATCGTGTGTATATGTATTCCTGTATATGTATGTGTATGTGTGTGTGTTATAGAGTATCAGATTTATTTATAACATTTTCTCTCCTTTTACCCTTAAAAGCTAACTCGAATTTACCAAAGGAATAATTCGTAATTCTTCTATACAACGTTGTCCTTTGTATGGTACAATTTCAAGTGTCGGAAAAAAGAAATAGTAGGATTACAAGAGGTAATACATAAATAGGGGATAGAACGCACGTGGGTAAATTCACAATGAAACGTCGGCTACCAATTCAAGGATCCGTAAAAGTCCAAGATTGTCGGACGAGCAAAGTGTATTGTCCATCATTCAATAGCAACTATGTTCCTTCATCTCGCGCTGTTTCCTCGGTTAGATAGCTGCTTATGAAACAATACTACGTAATTATCAAATTAATTGTCCGCTTACATTACGTATTATGCACACTACACATCGCGCGAGGCATCGGAAGCAAGTACAAATACAAACGTTCCATATACTCGAGCTTTGTTTGACCTCCATCGCTTCTCCGTCAACGTCCCGGCATGTCATTCGGTCTCGGCGAAATAATTTCCGCAGAAATGTGCAAGGAATTGTACTATCTGAGAGACACACTCCCGCATATTGTATTTGCGCAATCGATCGCGACGGCCGATCGCGAATCAAAGGGAGAATTATTACATCTCGTGCGCGATTCATTCGTGAGGCGACGAAGTCGCCGTTGAAACTTTCCACGACATCGTTAATACCAGGATCCATCGGGCATAAAGTGAGTTTTCTTTCTTTTCATTCACCGCGACTCGCCGGCCACGACTTTCACGTCCGTTTTTTCGCCTGACCTACGACGAACAATCTACCTACGGTACAGAAGCTCGACCGCGAGGGGATAAATTGCAACGACACATACTCTTTCTGCGCGAAAGCGATCGCAGATCTAGACAATGCGCGTTTTACGCGGCTCCATATAGGCTTCATGCGGCTATTATTGTTACCTGCTCTCCTTTTAACCGCGCTATCGCCTAGAGCTAATTATACTTATTCGCTAGATATTGCACCGTCTACCGGCTCTTTTCATTCTCCTCTTTTTCAGGCGCTACGGCCTTTACTGTCTACCGATCACGCTACTTATACACGTGTGTGTATGTTTATGTATACATGTATACATCACGGCTACACGACGCAACGCCCGCTTAATAACTTTGTTATTTCCCTACAAAGTATATTATCTCTGTACAATAAGCGCACCGCGCGATTTGAGCCCGCACACACACTCGCTCTCCCATATATTCTTGTTCTTCTCTCCTTTGCATATATCCCGTTCACTTAGAGATATAGATTAAGTATCGTACAGAGAATTTCGCTCTATGTTACCCGCGACGTGTCGTTTCCTTCTCGACCAGTTAGGCTGATCTTTGGACTTAGGTTCTAAGTGAAGTTAATCGTCTTTACACCGACGTTACATTATCGTGCCGATCGCGTCGAGGAATCCGACGTTCGCAGAAACGTTTGCGACTTGGTCGCCTACGAAGCACAATAATCACATTTACGCTGTTCGATCTTACTTTACTAAATCGTAATCGGCGCCAACGTCGTCGCGTTCCGAATGTTCAAGATACAGAAGCCGTATCGCGAAACGATTGCCCCGGGTGCTCGATCGCTACCGACACAAATCCCCTTTATCTTTTTTTCACGTGCGCGTGTGTCCCTTCGCGAGAAATTATTACCGTGTATCGTGCTGCTCACTCGCGTCACCGTTCGCAAAATCAAAAGCGATGAGTAGCGCGCCCCGAAATTCATTAGGAAAGCTAATTTTCGCTCGCGCATCGGCAAGTCACATCGGCGCATACATCTTGCACGAACAAAGGATCTGCGACATAGAACCGAACACTCGCTATTGAGACGTTCAATTAGCACGTCTCAAGGGAGAGACAGAGAGGGAGGGAGAGAGAGAGAGAGAGAGAGAGAGAGAGAGAGAGAGAAAGAGAGAGAGAGAGATCGGATGAACAGGATATTTCGACTAGGTCCGCGATGTCAAAGCGATCTCATGATATTTACAGGCATGACGAAGAGACAGGATAACTCTCACCGTTGGCAGTGAATTTCGGAAGATACCCAAAGCGCCAAAATGTCCGCTGCGGCAAAAATTATCAAATTCGGGCCGCTCGCGCGGCATGAATGCGAAATATATCATCTCGCGCCCAGCCGGCGGGACGTACTTTTCTCATGGAAGAACATGAGGCGCTTTTAGCGGTAAGATGCTGCAGCGTGAATATCAGATGAGATTCGCGAGAGCATACGTACGAAACGATATCAAGGTAGAAAAGTGTCTGTACGGCGCAGCAGAGGGAATGCAATAGAAAATCTTCGCGCGGCTACTCCCGCGCGATCGCTCTCCGCGACTTACGCGACGTAGATAAATGTACAAGTGTGCACATTCTGAAACGGGAAATTAGCTCGCAAACTGTCGAGACGTCCGCGCATTATCTAGCTGATATACTCTCAAAGATACGAATATCGTTCTCTCTCTTTTTTTTATCCATAAGATGACATAAGCAAACAAATGTGACGATTCTTCACTCTGTGAATGACTGAAACGATTTAATTGGAAAGGTCAAGGGTGACACTTAGTTAGAGAATGCTCCTCCTGATCACACGCGAATATTGACGAAGCGCGGAAACGCAAACGCAGCGGATAGAGGAAGGCGCGACTCGCGAGGGTCGAACCGACATGGGCTCAAAGTCGACGCGACATGCTCGATCGCGCACCTCCTCTGTTCGCCTAACTTTCCGTCGTGTGACCAATACTAGACCTGTTCAGGCCGACGAAGTGCCAGAATTTGATTTAGACGGCATTTAATCGAAAGCTACGCCTAACGTGTATTGACGGTACTGCTCGACTTCATATTTGCCTTTCCTCAGAATGTACATTCCAATGGTCGATTCAAGAGCAACTCGATGGGGGAGACGTGTGTCGCTTAATCCACTCGCCCGGTCGACTATCAATTAACCGTGTGATCCAACGCGACGCGAAATGTAGACCTGCGAAATTTTCGGACACAACCGTCCGTTATTTTTCGCACTGATTAGAGACGTTATGATTAGCTCTCGCGCGTTTTTGATAAATCACTTCTATCAATTGTAATTCCGATTTGCCGAAATCGTTTGATCCGATCGCGCTGCAATTTAATGCTAACACGATGCGCGTTATTAAAACATGACGACATACGAGGACATGAAATGTCCGCTACTGTTTGTCAGATTTCATTCTTTCGACGATTCGCAGTAATCGCGAGATACACACGTGTGCGCTTGCAGTAAAATGGTAATAAGAAAATTAGGCATTGTTGGTACTTTGAGAAATAAGCGATATTGAAACGTCGCCGGCCTTGGGACGCCGTAATCATCACAGTCTGCTGCTAATTTGAACTAATTGTTCGCCGACGATACAGTAATTATTGCAATAGATTTTCCTTTTCTTTAATAGCACATTGCGTAAATATACAGAACGCTCGACGATCGCATGCGAGAGAAACTTATGATAACACTAATAACTTATGATAATATATAAATAATATGAAGTAAATATATATAGCGACGTGTGGATTGTCCAGACGGGAGCGTCTGGTCGGCGCGAATTGCTTTAGTTTCTCTTACCGCGAAACGCGACGTCGATCAGACATGTCGACGGGAGCTCGTTTGCTCGTGAGTGCCAAGCGTCGCAAAATTCGAAGAGAAGAGCCCTTTGCTTTAGGCCATCTCAAGGCAGTGTACATTACGATCCACGATCGAGCCGTAGGTGAAACGTCAATTGTCCAATCGCTCTTCCACGAGGCGCGTGCCACCTCGAGCTGATTCGTTGCTCGTAAAAAAAGGGACTCGCGAGTAACGCATTATTACACAGTATTCGGGAGACACACTCAATTATACGCACGTTATATAATGTAAACAGCGTGAGAAACGCTACACGATTACTGCGCGATTACACACCACGAGGAAGAAAGGGAAACACTTCTCTCGGTTCGTAAAGCGGCGGAGTAAGCTTTACACGATATTACAGCTGGGCGTGTGTATGTATATGTATATATATATATATATATATATATATATATATATATATATATATATATATATGTATGTATGTATGTATGTATATATCAAGATATCTTACACTTAGTATCTTCACTTTTCGTCTTTCGTGCGACGAGCAATCGATCGTCGTTCGAGGTTTCCTACAGTAAGGCTTACAGTTAAACGTTGAGCCGCTACTTGGAGCATGACGCGCGCTCCACGTGATCTTAAGGGCTTTCGCACATGCATTACCGTAACCACAGACATAAAGTTTAGCTGAAAGGCCAATCCGGATTCGCTACAGTTTTGTGTGCTCTAGAAGAAGACGGAATTGCCGCGAAATCTGATCTTATGTAAAAGTAACTAAGATTCCTTTGCTTAAAATCCTAGTTGCTCAGTCGGAATCCTACATATAGTCACGACAATCTTCTTCTAGCTAGAAGAATCCCAAAGCAACATCCCGATTGCTCCTTCAGTTTAAGTTTACGCCTTACCTCTACGGTCACGGCAATTCATGTGCAAACCTAAACCCCGCGAGCTCTCCACGTTCTCTCCACGAGCCGTCTACGGACTGTTGTTTCACGAGTCGCGGCCGTTAGGAATTTTAGCGTTTGTCCGGCAACGCGCTCGTCACTCCGTGATACACATGATCGGCTGAAAATTGTCTACTAGTACGTACAGCTGTCGGCCTACACCTAGCTACGCATCCTAAGCACGTTACACGAGGGGTAACAAATTATTCACACGTGTGTACAAGCATGTTATATACATAAGCGCAACTCTTGATCGGCTGGAGCGCGCCACGCTGATTAAGTCACGTTCACTATATTTTATACTATATGTACAAAAGGCGCGCGAGACGCCGGATCTCGCCGGCACGGCTCTTAAAATATGATTCTCATTTGATTATTGTCCGAGTTCACCACAGTTACGAGACGAGTGAGGATAATTCGGTGATTAAGTATTGGAAGGCCATCTTCTCCGCGATAAGGAGAGTCCGCGTCGCCTAAAACGTTTAGCTCTACGAAAATATTATCGAAACAGTAGTGGCCGCGCGTGCTTGAGAGTGGCCGTCGCCCGCTTTGCCTCTCTTCTTACGTCATGTGCAAGTCGCCCTTTAGTATTCTGGTAAAGGTCTTCTTGAACTGCTGATTCGCCAAGGCGTAGCAGAACGGATTCATGGGGCTGTTGGCGTAGCACAGAAAATACGAGAACATGAAGAGGTGCTCATTCGTGCACGGCGGGTTCGCGCAGAAGCCCTCGACCAGCGCGAGTATGTGATAGGGCGTCCAACAGGCGACGAACGCGCCCAGGATGAAGGATATCGTGCGAAAAGCCTTGCGCGCCCTGTTCTCCGTCCGTGACTTTTGCCGGCCTATCGTGAAATCCTTCTTCTGCGTTTTAGCCTTGAGTCGTTTCCCGATGGACTTGACGAAGTCTCGTCTCGAACCGCTCTGCTCCGCGTCTGACGGTGACTCCTTCTTCTTGGACGATTGTCGTTTCACCTCCTGACTGTTCGTGGTGACCGACGCGGTCGGCATTATACTGCTGGACGACGAGTTTTGCGGCGGATTGTTCGCCTTGGCGAACTGATCGGAGACGCGGTCGGTCGTGCTGTTGGACGACTCCATCGTCACTACAACGGTCGCCGCCGCCGCTGCGCTCGTCACTACCGTCGTCACAGGCTGATGTTTCTTGGTGCCCTCCGCGCTCACAGACACCTCGGTGTGCACCTTGCTGACTGTGGGCGATGTCTGCGACGCCACATTCGTCTGATGTGTGATGAAGACACGCGGCGGGTGCGTTTGGCTGGACGCGTTCGACATGACGGGCTGTTGATGATGTTTGTTCTGCGTGACCGTCAACTGACCGGTGCCAGCCTGCTGCGCCGTCGCTCTGATGAGAGCGGTCTGGAGCAAGCTGGTGCTGGTGCCAGCACCTGTTGCCACGGTGTTACCTAAAATCGGTGACGGCGGTGCCGTCGACAACGGGTTTGCCAGACTGCAGGAGAAGGAAGACGGTGGACTCTCGTAAGATGGACTGGGGACGATGATGGAGCTCTCGTCCATGTAGCGCAGGTCGCCGCCGTCCAGGCCGGTGAGGATGTCGTAAGTGCCTTGACCATAAGAACACACGATCAGCGATTTGGGTCGATCGGTCGACGACGACGTGGTAGGACTTTCCGGCACTGGCGGGCTGCTTTGAAACTGCGTGGGTGGCGGGATGATGTTCTGTTGAACACTATTGATCGACGCGTGCTTCGTTTGAACGGCCGGCGTCGCCTCGCTTGCCTCGGCGATCGACTGTTGATTATCCTCGACCTCATTCGATCTCAGAGACTGTTCCGGTGTCAGCGTGCGGCTGCTAGACTTGTCCAGCTCGGCGGGATTGTCGGTGTCCAAGAGACTGAGCTCTTGTATTTTCGGCAGTGTTTGCGCCCGCTGCGTCGCCGTGCCGATATCGCGCGTAGGGCTGGTGGGCAGTAGTTTCCGCGCGGTGGGCACGCTCAGCTCCACCTTGACCGGCATGATGCCGTTGAGACGTCCGTTGGTAGCGAACACCTGCAGGGCGCCGGACTGGGCCATCAGGCCCGCCAGGGACGATCGTTTGCGGATGTTGCTGTGTTGTTGGCTGGTGCCCACGGTGCTCTCCTCGTCGGAGTCGAAGGCGGGGCTGCTGGAACGCTCGGACTTCTCGGTTTCTGCCACCGTGACGGCGTTCGCGACGATGTTCTTGCACGCGGATTCCGACATAGTCGTCGCGGTATCGCCGTCGGCTTTCGCGACGGTCTTCTGCGCGGCACTCGCGTCCGTGCCGCCGGCGCTTTCGTCCACCGTAATCTTCGGCTTGTCCTGACTCAACAAGGTGCTCTGGGTCTTGGACATGCCGATGCCGGCGGCGCGGCCGGCCATACCGGACATGGCGCCGGCGCTCAGTGCTACCATCGACTGCATCTTGCGCTGCTTCGCCTCGCTCTTCTTCTGCATGTCATACGCGGTCTTGTAAATACCACCGTAGAGGATGAACAGAACGATCAGCGTGGTCCAGTAATATCCGATAATCAGCGCGGTGTTGAACACCGGGTCCTTGAGAAACTGCACCGCGCACTGGCCTGGGTTTAAGTCCCGGTAACCGATGAAGTGTTCCCAGCCAAAGATGCTGATGAAGAAGAGCAGCGCCGGTATGATCCAGGTGATGGTCACCATCCAGATCACTCGCTGCTTCGTGCGCCAACTGCGGTACTGCGCGGCTATCTTCACTGAACAGAAGCGGTCGATGGTGATCAGCAGCACGGTGTACTGGGACACCAGGCATACCGTGTAGTCCACCGACAGCCACAGATCGCAGAGCAGTGGGCCCAGGTTCCAATAGCCCATTAGCACGTAGACCGTGTAGAACGGCATCGACACGGTGCCTGCGCAACAATTACGTCATTACTCGTATGGCCGATTCCCATTGACACGCGCACTTGATTATGCGCGCAGGCAGCGGCCGCGATAATCAAATCGCGATGAATGTATCCTTTCACGATTATAGCGCGGTTCGCGAATTTGCATTAGAAATACCACCGAGGCTACGTTCCCGCGGAACATCGTGCCAAATATCAAGGAGCGAAACGCGCGCACGTGCGTCATAGTGCCGTCACGCGAGTGCGGCCAAAGCCAACTGAAACCGGCTTTTAATATTCCGTCCTGGAACTCTAGCCGCGGACAATAAACATGCTCCATAATTAATGACGCTTCGAATGTAACGCGGGTGAAATTTATGCGAAGTCGCAGTCATTTAGAATAATTGTCACGCGAATGATTTCAGTGACTTATGGAAACCATGAAGCTTCTAATAACATTTCTCAAAAACCCAATTATTGACGAGAAATCACGAGATTGAGGAGTAACCCGTGTTTTGCAAAAGCATTTATATCTGTCGATTACAAAGTGAATCCGCTTAATCCGCGAAAATAGCTGTCGCAAAAGCGACTTTCATCCTGTCACGAAGTGCTTTGATACCTATCGAGATATTTGCTGCGGGTCACGGCTGCTGATTGAACGGATGGATTTAGAACCGCGATATAACGTGTCATTTCTGCGAGACGACGCGACACTCCTCGTCGGAGATGAGGAAAACGAAAGGCGGAAGCACTGCGGGACTTACCGATAAGCATATCAGTGGCAGCTAATGATGCGATGAAGTAGTTACTCGGCTGCCTGATGGCCCTATCTACGATGAATGCCAGGAGGACGAGGATGTTACCGCCAACGGTTAACAGTATGCATATCGCCAGACAGATAGCGATCAGTACCGTCTGCCAGAGCGTGAACGGTGGCAAAACGGGTGTCAGAGATTCATCTGTTCGGGGGGATGTAAAGTATCAGCAAATGGCGTGTTAATCATTAGTCAATGCGAGCGAAGTTACTCGATCATTCGTCTATGGCGCGGCGCGGTGCGTCATTCCGACGTAGTCGTTCGCGCGCAAATTTTCCGACATGAAAAAGAGTGATTCGTTAAAAAAAAAATTAAAAAGAAAAGAAGAGGAAAAAGAGAAAGAAGGCGATTTAGGATGAAAAGCGCTCATAGCTATAGCTTAATTTCAATTACGTTACCCAACGTCGACGGAGTCGTCGCGTTTCCGAAAGTCGAGATGTTCGTCGCGTTTGTTGGGAACCAGTCGGGCAGAAGTTCTGCGTATTCACCGCTGCTCCAGCGCGGGTCATCCGGGTCAGGCCATGTTCCATTTAACTGGGTACATTCCGCCGTCAAAATTTGGTTGTACACAAATCGACACAGGCGCTCCCGCTGTCTCTTCAGCTTCCTAAGAACGAACAATGGAGGATTTCTTTTTTTTCTTTATTGTTAGGGGCATAAAATGCGCGCGGGACGGAGTTGCTGCACCGGCATGACAAACGCAAGTAAAGACTCGGGGTGCAATTCTCCCTTCATAGTCGGTATGAAATTAAAAATACAAAGCGCACAAATACAATCGCGCGGCGTTTGTGTCACGAGAAATAGCGTTCATTCGCGGAATATACGGCGAAATAATTCGGCGTGACGAGACAGATCGAGAGAATCCGAGCTAATAATAACACTCGACCGAAAATAGAGCGCCAAGCGTCCACGTAATTACAGATCAAACGAAATTGCGTATCGGCTCTCTCCCCCTTCGTTGTCGGATTAATTCCATTTACGTTTGATGACTCTTCGCCGTGCCGCGCGCACGTGTAAATTACATTTTACGCCGGAGAGGGAAGTTCGATAGTTCGGTAAATCACAATGTTCCTATTCCTTCGCCGTGGCTGCGTGTTTGTTACCGTCGAAGAAAATGTGACACCGGTATTTCCTGATTCTCTCTACACGGCGACATACACGGTCCTGCTCCCTCTCCCTTTTCCTCTTCTCTCCCTCCCTCTCTCTCTCTCTCTCTTTCTTTCTCGCAGGAGCGCTGCTGCAGTGGCGACACGAGAAGCGACTCAAAGGCTGAATACACCGAGCGCACAATGAGCTTGAAATAAGCATGAATGGAACCACATCCAACCCCCGCCGCCGGCCTCATCGCCGGTAGGCAAGAAACGACAGGGCACACGCCTTAAAGAGGGTGAGCCCATTTTTAAATCATTCAAGCAGTCGATCGGAATCCCGCGTAGCCGCGCGGAAATCGCACGCGACGATGGCAACTCCTATCTTGTAATTCGCGACAAAAGACCCGCTTCGAATCACAGCCATCGGGCTCCGCTACTCTTATCGACGTTTCGCCGCTTCACAAAGAAAATCGTGTGTCCTTTCTCCGTCTCGCGCGCATCCGGAGTATGATCGATTTACCATTTACCTATCATTCTGAAGATTTATATGGGAAAAACCGAGGAGTAAGCATACAGATGTTTGGAAAAATGAGACTTTGGCTAAACGATGTAACAGCCCCACTTGACAGAAATGTTTATACAGAAGGCAGAAGAACGCGGCGATGAGGAATGACATATCGGAGGGAAATATACGAAATTTCGGATCTCGATGAATTCATCTCATTTCATGCGTGCGTACAATATTTTACGAACGTGCCCACGCATGCGAGCAACATTTCAGCTTAGCACCGGCGAGTAGTAATGCAAGCACTGCACGCATGAAGGCTGCTATGCGGATACTTGCCAACCCCTTGTCACACTGTTGCGAGGTTGAATGGGAGCTCCAATTTCAGCTTAGCGCGTCGTTTCAGTGGGAGTTCTACAGATTATCGCGTCTGAAGTTCGACCGAACCTGAGTTCTTGCGCGGGATAAAGCCGTTTGAGTGTATAACTCGCGAGATGACCGCGATTTCGCGCGCTTTCTTCAAAGAAATCCTCCGTATTCAACGCCTACGAGCATTATATGATCTCTCGCGGCTCGTTGACACAATGGACGAGTGATTTTTCGCCGAGACATCGCCGACGGCACGGGCACCTCTGGCCGTGCACTACAATCGCGATTAATTCGACGATTACAAATGGACCTGTAATGAAATTACGTGTGCGTTCATACATTCCCAAACGAGACGAATTATCGCTCGCGCCGATCGAACCGTATTTTATTTCTGCTTTATTAATTTTGTTTATATAGTGAGAGAGCTTTTCCAACAGCGAATAAAACCCGCCGACTGGACCAGTACGCAAATGCGTATTCCGTGGGCATTTTTAGTTTTATAAATATGAAGTTTTGTGTGTGTGCAACAGCTGCGCGATTCCCATCGTGCGCTGATCTCGAAGGATTTTACAAATTGACGAATTTCGCGTTAACGTTATTGCGATGTGTGCACGTGTAGCTGAGGAAACCGCGAGAATAAAGAATGGAGTATGAAATCCTTTGTTTCAGCACTCGCCAGGGTAAATACTTGTCCTCGTTATTCGTGAGCATTCTCCTCGTGTAGCCCTACCGTGAAATCATTCGTAAATACTTGTCCTCGTTATTGCTGTACTCCTATTTCGCGAGGCTATTGTGAAGCCGTCCATAAAAGAGAACCGACCACCTGTAATTATCTGAAAATTCAGCCGTTCTGTTCACGTGAAGAGAATCGGGGGAAAAAGCGACGCTACCAGCGGCGAGTGAAATTTCCGCGGAATCATTCGATTGACATCTGCTTTGTCTCTGTTGGTTATGCGACAGTGATTCCACACTTAACACGCAATACATTCTTCTGATCTGCATACCTCTCGAACATATCGGTTTCTTGTAAAAAATAATTTATTTCGACACCAGGACATTTTAATCTCCGAGTTATATAGTTATGCAGATTGAAAGCCTTTTCAATTTAAATTTCGGGGAAAGACATTTTCAGATAAAATGTTGTTACCGTTGCAATATCGTTAAATCATTGATATACAATCGGGTTTCTCGTTTACTCGACAAAAGTACATTCGTTTAGTAGTTAGTCAACAATTTCAGCGACCCAACAAAGCCAGATGTTTAATTTCAGCGAACAAGATTAGAAAATGATTAACTCGACTCGAATTGGTGAGCGATGTAATAGAAAAACTTGTAACTCGATATCCGCGTTTACGACCCGTCCTTGTCTACAACGAGTTAACTCGATCCCGTGAAAATGACGTAAACTACCGTAGGAGCTTTAACGCCGACAACTACTTCCTGTCATTTATGCAAGCATGGTGTCAGCATTTCAAAAAGTCCTTTTATTACAGGACAGAAAAAGCAACGAGAAAAAGGCAAAGGGTACTACAAAATGAGATACACGCGGGCATAAAAGGGTAAGACACGGGGGGATGAAAAAAACAAAACAAATCAGCTCGCCGGGGAGATATTCTACTTGAACCTCAGTACACATAAAAGCTCCGCTGTATTAATGCTAAAAATATTACATGTCTTGTGGACAATGGCACGCGACTGACACACTTTTTGCGAAAGATATGTATGTTTAGTTCGTATATGTACCTTCTTCATAAAAATACGTACTACTGTATCCAAAAAGTATAAGACCAGTTTTTATTTATTTCAAAAAATATTTATTTATTCTTCCAAATCTATTTCGTCGTCTTCAAAGTAATCCCCTCCCGACACAATACACTTATGCCAACGTATTTTCCAGTCCTCGAAACAAGAATTAAAATCGCCTTCCGGGATGGCTTTCAGAGCGCGTAGCGATTCACGTTGTATCTCTTCTATCGTCTCAAAACGATTTCCCCGCAGTGGTCTTTTGAGTTTCGGGAATAGCCAGAAGTCACACGGTGCTAAATCAGGCGAATACGGTGGTTGTGGAACGATAGGGATCGAGTTTTTGGCGAAAAAGTCACGAAGAACGAGTGCAGTAATTGAGATGTTTTGGCACTAATCGAGATTTTACACGTTTCAGGCCCAAAATATCTTTCAAAATGGTATTGGGAGATCCTTTCAAAATACCAACAGCATCAGCGAGGTCTCTAACAGTCATTCGACGATTAGCAAGCACAAGTTCTTCGATTTTCTTGACGTGTTGTTCATCGGTAGAGGTTGATGGTCGTCCGGAACGCTCTTCGTCTTCAACACTTTCACGACCTTCTTTGAACTGTTTATACCACTTGTAAACATTCCTTTCCGACAAAGCATGGTCCCCGAAGGCTTTCTGCAACATCCTGAACGTTTCTGCACCCGAAATTTCATTCCGCAAACAAAATTTAATGCAACTTCTTTGCTCAATATAATTAGACATTATAAAAATCGCCGAATGCACTTTTAGCGTCGTACAAAACCAAGCGTAAAGCAAAAAGTAATGAATGTTTTGACATGAAATTTGTCACAGATGTCTGTCACAATACTGCCAACTTAGAAAAAAAATATTTATGATATGCTGTTTACCTGCGCGATTTAAATTGAAAACTGGTCTTACTTTTTGGACACAGTATATCACACGCGCGGTGAATTGATGATTGGTTTAAAATTTGATTTAGAATGTGGAATAGAAAAATAATCGTAGATTTGAGAAGCAAAGTTGCTGTTCGCAAAATTCGATAAATTGCTTATCAGCTCGATCGCCGGCGCAGTGAAAAATTGAATAGCGGTGAAAATTAATGGGAAGAAGGATCTTCGATATGCAATCGCAATTGGAATAGTAAAGGTCAATAAGAACCAATACAGATATATTTTAGTGCGATAAGTAAAATTTCATTATAGGTCAATTTCCGTAGCCATGTCACTTTGATATTAACAATCGATCTAGACGGTCCACTTCGGACCTTCTTCAGTGAAATATAATATTAATCGAAAATCCCAATGTAGGGGAAAACACTCCGCAGCTGGTAATCGTTATAGAACTCATCACTTTTCGGCATTCTTGCTTGGATCCTATTCAATATCAGTATTAAGACGAGGAGCTATTGACTATTTATCATTTATTATTTACTTATTCGTTTCCTTTCACATCCTTACATATTTTAATACTCGACAACATTTGCGCAAGAGTGTGAAAGAAAACAGATAAAGTACCGACTACTGGGCGTTCTCCCCTAGCTCGAAGTTCACGGAGCGAGGGGACACTCGAGGGTGACTCGTGCGCAATCCCGAGCAATTTCGAAGAATTTCGCGAGACCAAGACGCGCAATTTTTCTTCTTACGCATCGTATGAATATTTTCCTGGCCGAAAGCGGAGAGAGGAAGAAAAAGAAACGATGCTCCCAAGCACATACGTAAAGGCCTGGATATTTTTACGCCTCATATTCTCCGGGCGTCTGTATTTCGATAAACAAAAACAGAAGCGCTCGTTCCATTTTGTTCGCGCGTCTCATTGTCCCCCGCGACATTCGTCGGCGAATGTGTGACTTGTCAGCCGCACCGGCTACACGGCTTGCCAGTCGAATG